GGGTCATGTTCCCTCTATTGGTCCAGTTGATATGGAATGACCCAGTTATAGTAGGGTAATTCAAGTTTCATTATCAAACTTTTTCAGAATTTTAACCTCTGTCCCACATGGCCAAAACTGAAGGTTTCCTGAGGAAAAAGTGAATAGTTTATTTGTTCCACATTTTGCCACCTGGTGGCACGAACTGTGCGAATCGCACATTGCGTGTGATGCTAATCTACAGTTGTCTTAGATTACACAGTTAGAGAGTTCTACTCCTATTAGAAATGTGAGTTTAAAGCGCCTGAAAACCTGAACAAAATTACTGAATTTATGATCCGTTTCAGTATCCTAATTTCAAATGGCCATATCTCAGCGAATATTCGGTCTAGAGACGTATAATTTTGGATTTGTTAGCTTAAGGCCATGTACTATAACATATATTTTTTATAATATTTTTGGAGGGGGTCATGTTCCCAACTTTCCGAAATTTGGTCCACTTGACACAGAATGACCCCTCCGGACGCCATTCCACTATTAAAGCTGCATTATCCAAGAGCTAAGTATGCCTAGTGCAGGTCTTTGGCATCAAATCATCAAATGCTATACAAACGGTTATTCACATGGCGAGCCAAAAATCAGCACACTAGACACCATATATATATATATATATATATATATATATATATATATATATATATTAAAGTAATAAAGTAATAAAGTACAAGTACTTCTATATATATATATACTATTCAAAAAAAGTAGGGGATATTTGATTTTTAAGTGTTATTAAAGTCACCTAATGAAACTGACGAAGAAACAAATGACGAAATGAAATGAAGTTCACATTCATCGATTTATTCCAAATGATCGTTAGACTAAGTAAGGCACAGACTGACCATTATAAGGGTAAAATGATACCCGGGGTCAAACAGCAAAGTTACCACAGCATCACAACCAAGTCAGTAACGGGTAAATCCTCCTCTGTTTGCCAAACAAGCATTGATCCGACGTGGCATACTCCTAATGAGACGTCTAAGGTCATTTTGGTCCAGATTGTCCCATTCCAGTTGCAACGCAGCAGCAAGTTCTTGGACATTGGCAGGACGTTGTTGACGTTGACGTAACCTCTGTCCAAGCATGTCCCAGACATGCTCGATGGGGGAGAGGTCGGGACTCAGTGCTGGCCAAGGTAATGTGGTGATGTTCTGTTGTTGGAGGTAACCTGTAACGATCCTGGCCCTGTGACATCTTGCGTTGTCATCCTGGAAGATGAAACGGCGGCCATGACGTCGTGCGAACGGCACAACATGGACTGCCAAGATGTTGTCCCGGTAGTACTGGCCTGTAACACGCCCTGCAACAACATGTAAAGCCGTTCTTCCAGCAACAGTGATGCCTCCCCACACCATAACAGAACCACCCCCAAATCGATCATGTCTGATGACGTTAACGTCTTGGAAGCGCTCGTTTCGACGACGCCACACCCTCCTACGTCTGTCCAAAAAATCAACAGTGAACCTTGACTCATCTGAAAACATCACATTGCTCCAGCGTCGATTATCCCAGTGTTGACGATCCCTACACCAACGACGTCTTGCCTGAATGTGATGATCTCTCAAACAAGGGATCACGCGAGGACGTCGGGCGCGAAGGTGACCCCTATGCAGTCGATTCCGAATCGTCTGGCCACTTACTCTCACACCAGTGTCTGTTTGAAGACGAGCGCTGATCTGATTTGCTGTGATGACACGATTTCTCAAGGCCAAGGTACGGATAAATCGATCCTGGGCTTGAGTTGTCGCCCTTGGTCGACCTGAGCGTGGTCTGTCCTGTACAGATTGTGTATCACGGTATCTGGACCATAGCCTGCCTATGACAGACTGAGAAACATTCATCGTCCGCGCCACAACCGCCTGTGTTGTGCCGATCTGTAGCATGCCAAGGGCACGTAACCTTTCATTTTGGGTAAGCCGACGCATATCAAAATTTGTTTTCTGGTCACTAAAACAATTAAACTGATGTTTCCACCCTGGAATTCAATGGCACAATGACTGTAACATTCAAAGTCAGAGTCGTGCAAATCTTGGGTTGGACCCCCATGATGATCCCAAGCATCACCTGCATTCCATGCGGTAGCTATTGGTGCGTTTGGGCGTCACATGTAACTGGAAATGTTTCTTCTGTTAGGTTCTATAGTGACTTTTTTCGTAGTCATTTGCATATTTTAGTATTATGCGCCCAAAATCAAATATCCCCTACTTTTTTTGAATAGTATATATATAATGAATTAAGACTTACCGTGTCATATAATCGTTTAGCGTTAAAATGGACGTCGCTCAATAAAGTGACTGACAATCATTTATCAGTATCTACATTGTGTTTGAACTATTGTCGTCAGCTCTTTATCTAAATTGTACATAATGCATTTTTAATCGAAAAATGTTTATACAAAGTTTACGAAAGGTTTAAAGAAAACATCAACCAAATACGTTATATTTTATAATTAAGTAGCCTTTTTCCAAGGGCGTGTCCAGGAATTTGAGCACCGGGGAGTCAACGTCAAGTTTGGCGTTAGGTCGGAGGGGGGGGGGGGGCTACCCGCTAATTTCATAAAATCAGAAGCTTTGAGACAATATTTCTGCTCATTTAGGTGCATACATGCATAGGATTACAATAGATTGAGCAAAAACGGGGGCAATACTTCGCATGTTAGTTTTTTCGACATTATTTCCATGAATGTAGTAGGGAAAAACTATTCTAGCAGGGGAGGGTCTGGACTCTTTGGACCCCACCGCAGGGCCAGCGGAAGCAATTCTTGACTGGGGGGGGGGGGCTACCATCCTAGGACTGTAGGTCTCGGAAGCTCCTTTGGATCTAGATCGTCAGAAACGCTTTCTGAGCGATTTCCGGCTAATAAAATTACTCAGCGATAACCTGGAGAAAGGAGTACTTACGACAAAATTATTGGGAGGAGACGGGGCAGCCCTACCCCACTCCGTCGGGCCTGCTCACGGGCCTGTTTTCTGTGTTCTTTGTTGTGTTAGTGTCGATAACCCCAGCCTAAATTGTCTATGCATCCACTACAACTAATAGGATATTTGTCTTGAAAAACTAACAAGATTTGCCGATATGGTGATTGGCTGTTCTGATTTCCAGTTCTTGTAATAACGTGGTCATGTTGTGTCAATATAATGTATTATTCTGCATAGACTAAACACAAGTTGAAGGAAGTTCCCTCTCAGTCAATCGTAAGATGTAGGTGAATCCCAGAATACCCTTTGACACTGTTTACAAATTTGACACTGTTTTATCCAGATTAAAAGCTGTTGCTGCCGAAACGACAATTTATCGAAAACTTGTATACTGATTTTACACGCAAACTCCTCCAAGTGTAAGTTATCGAAATTGACATAATCTCGTTTAAGTGGAGTTAAACTTCATTGGGTTTTTAGATGGACACATCGAATCATGCTGTGCAAATTTCTAACGGTCGGAAAACTGAATTCAAATGACAATTCTGTCGGTGAAAGTAACTGTAGACAAAAGGCACGCTGTATTAGTCCCACATCCGGAACAGGTGACTCGGGTTGACGGATTAGCTACAGCAAAACATTATATTCTATATAAATAAAATCAAAGCGTGTATGGGTGTGTGTATGTATGTATGTTCGCCCATCACGCTTCGTCGCAGCGCTCCACTCCCACACATGTGGTATCAAAGTAACCAGTATGACCCCCGTGAATGTTTTAGGCCATCGAATTATGGCCCTGGTCGAATTGGGCCCTGGGCGAATTGGGTCCCTGGCGAATTTGGGACCCGTGCGAATTTGGGCCCCTGGCGAATTGGGACACGTGCGAATTTGGGCCCCGGGCGAAGTCGGGCATCCTGTTAGTATTTGAATATATTTGGAATCTCATTAACTTATTCTATCACGTATCTATTATTTGCGATGGCAGGTTTTCTTCTTTAACCAGTATCTCACCAATTACGTACGTATGTACCCTGGTATTTCCCATTTATCTTTTAGGAAGCGCATCAATTTATTAATTTATCAAATGCTTCAAATCTCCATCATTAAGTATTTCCCAAGTTGTTTTCAACCCTGCATGCAATCATTGAATATTTCCGCCCCGCCCCGCCCAATACATCTTGATTGTACCATACTACACCAAGTAATCATACATTAGCGTTAAATTCGTATATATACTGCTCATTCAAATATTTATAAAATGTTTCTATATAATGTATGTATATATATATGTATATATTTTGTACATAGGAATAGATCATCTTCCAATCCGAATTAAATATATCCCTTTTCTAACATCATATTATACATAACCTTTGTTAACATAAAAAAAAGTTAGATGTATGTTGTATCTTTACGTCTTTATTTGACTAATTTTATTATCTGTATAAATCTTGTTGAATCATAAAAATTTAACAACGTAACAGAGGAATTTGTGTTATTTAAACATGTTATCCATCTTATTTCCTGTCTACATCACGTTGCCGAAGCAACGACTGTGAGTTTTATTTACAACATCTATCAGATGTAAGGAGTTAAAGCGGGTTCTTAACTTTAGTGAAACATCTTCTATCAAATCGTCTTATTGCACTCGTCTTCATTTCCAGGTTGGTGCATAAAAGATGGACGTTAAAATCAACAACCTGATTGGCAGCATGGAATGGGGTTTAAAATATCGCCAACACAAGCACGATACTTTGTTAATTTCCACCACGGGATCTTTTACGGGCGCTACTAGTTTATAAACGGGGCCTTGCTTTTTCGGCGCATCCCTAAGACGCGCTTTCTTTGTTGTCAACCCAAGAACGTACGGGTATAGATTGAAAACATCCCGAAGATTCTTCACCTACCACGCCGGGATTCGAACGCGGAACAATCTTAGCTGTTAGTTAAGTATCATAACTAAATGATAGCGGAGCGCATATAAGAATTGATAAAAGGTGTGAAATATGGTAAAGAATAAGCTGAGATATTAACTTCATTTTTCAGCCATGGACACAAATTGGTGTGTTACTTTTCAGCTGGATCGTATGAAAACTGGCGTGCGGATGCCAAGGCATTTCCCTCTTCTGCATTGGGTAATAAATTAGAGGGCTGGGAAGGAGAGAAATGGTTAGATATCAGAAGCTCAGCTGTTAAAACCATCATGGAAGCTAGGCTAGCCAAGGCAGTATCACGGGGTTGCGACGCAGTTGAACCAGATAATGTAGATGGTTACCAAAATAAAAATGGCGTAGGTTTAACGTCTTCTAACCAGAAAGACTATAATATTTGGCTTGCCAAGAGTAAGTAGCTTACCAACTTGAATTAAGTCTCCATTTCAAGTAAAAAAAATGACTTTATGTCTTATCAATTAAGATTTAGTTTTTTTGTTGTTTTGTGAATTGTTTAATCAAGCCCAATGACACGTCTACTATCAGAGCAGGCATACGTATAGCGGAACATCTTTCCTCTGGTAGATTGTTCCCGCTTTTTGTACACTTTGCGCGTTATTCTCGTGCATATAATTCCAATTTCTTAGGGAATTGATTTTTAAAAACATGGACAAGAGGTAATAGTAGATCAATTCGATTTGGCTGCAATTTGTTTTATTCAGTTCCATTCCGGCGTTTTAAATGATACTTTGTGAAAATTTCCAATGTGAATTAATTCTAACGGAACATTAATTTACACGAAATGGGATGCATTTTCTCAGTATTTGTAACACAGTGGAACAAAATTTATATATATGTATCCGAGGCTTTTTCAAACCTGTACCTTGTACCATAAGATCTCTTGGTCCTTTAAACCATAAAATGAGAACAACTAATAAATTCTATCAAAGATAGGGTACCCCACCATAAATAAATTTCACCAAACATCTCGACAATTACACCACAATATTTATATATATATATATATACCAAGCCTTAAATCAGTTTCGCAGATTTATAGTCACTAAATAAACGGTCATGTTGTACCTAATAAGCTATGACTATTTAACCATCCATAAATAATAGACTGAAAAATGGTTACGACTGTCGGCCATAACATCCGCCCACTTTTGAGTAAAACATAGGTTACGTGCCCCTGTTTTGAAATTAGTCTGATTGACAGGCCAGGATAATCAAGACTACTTTTTTTTACGAAACATAACAGAAAGCTGGAACAAGAAATTGAATTTAGAAACAAACAAGTTAGGCAACTCAACAACTGTTTTAAGAACCTTGTAAAAGTAAAATGAAACTACTGCTAGTATCATGTTCTTGCCTAACCCGAGTATTTCAGATATATTTTTTGTACTAAACCAAAAGATGTCGCTCTTAACGGTATAGTTAATGATAAAGCAATTTAAAAAATAAAACGAACGTAATTTCTAAAGCTGCTGTAATAACCAAAAAGCTAAATATTACTGCTATTCAGTATCGTCAACAATAGATTTTTTACGGCTGTAATAGTTGATAGATGAGTAGAGAATTTCACGTGCGATGGCTATTTATAGAGTATTATCGCACTGTGTGATTAGCCAGAAATCACTTCGAGACAAGCCACTGAAGAGTGCACATTCGCCGTGTCGAGTTCAGCTTTCTCCAGGGAAAATTTTCGCTGCACGGGGCACCCTATCAAAGATGGAAACGTTTAGCATACACAGTTAGAATTGTCACTTACCGCCGATAGTTTGTAGATGTTAAGATTTGGATGAGTTACCCATAACAATACAGTTGATGTATTCAAATAAAAACCATTAAGCCCAACGAGCCGTCTGGTAACACAGTATATAATACCTTTTTTAAACGACGGACCGTCTGGTAACACAGTATATAATAGTTTTTTTTATGCAAATGGAGAAAGATAGAAGGTCGTAAATCGAGATATTATAATAAAATAATGTCTAGAAAAGATAAGCGATTTAATTATCACTTTTATATTTTCAGCCGCCCATTCTAAAGGTTTATCTGTTGGACTGAAGAATGCAGTTGATTTAATTAAGGATCTAGAACCGTATTTTGATTGGGCTCTAAATGAAGAATGCGTGAATTATGATGAATGTGACAAATATAAACCATTCCTAGACAAACATAAGGTAATATACGGTTTTATGTACTTGTATCATTTAAACGAGAGCCACCATTCACGATATTTATCTTTAATTATTAACGTCTGCTGTGACATTATCAAGGTAGCTGTCATCATCATGATTACGAAGACTTGCTATTATGAAGGTGACGGAGCATTTCCTTTATAGTCCAGGAGCTAATGACAAAATAATATGGTCATCAGTTATAAAAGGTTTACCCCCCCCCCCCCCCATTTGTGCTGGGTGTCTATACGAGTTAAAATCAATTGGTCAGATCGGACACTGCTGGGGCATATACCCACAGCAGCACCTTAAAGTACCCCCTATGGGGTCCAAAATTAGGTCACAAGTTACATTGCTGAAACATTCTAGAAGTAAAGGTATCCATAGCTTGAGTAAATATTTCTCAAGGGGCTTTCCGCAAGTCAGATCACACCCAATATCTCCCCACAGCAACAAAGAGAGAGAGCTGGGGTTTAACGTCCACTCGACACAAACTAGGTCATTTCGGGACAAACACATGGTTCAATTTCATTTCAATAATTCGGTTGCTTGTAGGTGTCTCACATAAGTAGAACAAACATTTTTGTTCTTCTCAACTGCCTGGTCATAACAAAAATATACACCCTGGCACCAGAATGGCTAATTTGAGTGAATATTATTATATAATTTTTGGTTGTTTTTTTTTCCATGAAACTGCCTGATGAATCAGATATTGCCAACATAAACTCGCATACTACCGCATGAACGAAACGCTTACAAACCTTGACATGTCTACTGATAACTTCATATACCTTCTGTTAATTTGTTAGGCGAAATGAGTTTTACTTCGGACTGTTTATTGGAGAAAGTGGGAATCAACCTGGCACTCTGTAAGAAATTTACTTATCTTGATAAAACGACCAAATTTGGATGGTACTAAACTATATTACCATGATTACGGAGAGGGAGAGGGGGACGGGGGGGGGGGGGGGGGTATGCTATGTCAAAATACGGTCATAATACGATACCATGTTACATATCAGTGAAAAGCACGTTCATGTATACTCTTTCCTCTCTTTAAGTAGCCTACATTTATACGGTCATAATACGATACCATGTTACATATCAGTAAAAAGCACGTTCATGTATACTCTTTCCTCTCTTTAAGTAGCCTACATGTATATTCATTATTTGTTGGACACAGTGATTATATTTTTTTTTTTTTTTAAAAATGGATTAAAGTTAATTAGCCTACACTAAAATATTTAAGAGAGGGAGTGGGGGCGGTGGGTGTGGTTTAAAATGTCAAAATACGGGTCTTAATACGAAATTCCAGCTATCGTGTTATACATCACTGAAAAGTATGTTTCTATGGCTCTTTGCATGAATCTATCAGTTATTTCCTGACACATTCATATTTACGTACTTTAGAGAAAGAATTATCTAGTGAATTTCTTACAGTTTGCCATGTTGATTGCCTCAGTATCGTGTGGTAAATATCTTATGTGTGTGAGATAGCTTTATTTAACGCCTGCTTCCACTGCGGTGATATCACAGACAATGTAAATATCTTATAGTGTACTGGCTTATACTATTCAGTATATGTTAAGTCACGTGATATCCCACATTTGCATATCATAGTTAATGCTCTGCGTAAGATGCTATGTAGAAAGCGTGAAATGAGATGCGGCAGAACGGAAATGTAAAATGTAGACACGCCAAAAAACAGCCTTTTTCCAATCAAACATTTGTCATTTGACACAATACATTTGACGTTTTACATTTAACTTTGGCCTTAGAGGTATTTTGACTTCATCATTACCGGTTTTAGGGCTTTGTACATTGTACTTTTTACATAATAATCAATGGAAAAGACATTTTAGCAGAGCATTTAATATTGGCAGCGATACCCTTCCATACCGTAAGACTATGAAATTTACTTTTATTTAACTGCAAAACCACGTGGTTAGTTGCCGCCGTAGTGAGTTTAAAGTTAGGTTATTGCTAGCTTTAAATACGCACAAAATAATTGAGACCGTAGTCTTGATTAACCAGGCGTGTATGATTAAAGTAGACTTACGGTCGGCTACTTGTCACGGCACTCGAATTCTAATCTTTTTAGAGTGTGTGTCGTGTGCTCTATTTTAGATATTTTAGATATGTATTTATTTTCATATTTAGCTGTGATAATTATTGGAAACATAATAGGATTATTATAAAGGATATTTAACGTCTACAATATAAGTACAGTAAGCACTTTCTGTATATTGCGTTTATATGGTAAACCACGATTGTTTCCGTTATTTGAAACTTTTAATTATGGTCTAATGCGTTTAGAAAAATCAGCCGAAAATGCAACTGATATTTGGAGTTGTTTATTTTCATCTCTGAACTGCATTAGAAATAACAAGAAACATCGTGTTAATTAAAAAGATAAATATATACATATAGTTAAAACAATAAATAAACGTTGTTTTAATGATTTATAGTTTGTGAAATAGTAACATTAGCTAGAAAACTCACAAATACACGAAAACTGGCGAACTGGGATGAATTTCTGTTTGGCCATATTTTTTTAGATAGTTTTAATCGTTTCTTTTGGATGTCTATTCTAACTAAAAAAAATATTACGTTATCCATTGGCCTACTGTTGATTTTAAAAATAGATTGCCAGGCAACGTAACATACGCCCACAGAGAGAGGTAGAAATGGGGTGTCTCAGTCGATAACCCTTACATAATATACCGCAAGATTATATGAAAATTCCATTTAAGCGGTTTTTTGTTTTTGGTTTTCATGAATTGCTGGAAAATCATTCAGATTCTTTCGTTATATATTTCCTTGACATGTGAACGAAATATCTTCGGACCAACTACAACTGACCCTTTTTAGACCAATGAACTTTCTAAGTACCGAACCTTCAGAACAGAAGAAAATCAGCAGTCAAGGTAAAAAGAAGGCCTGTTTGGAATATAAAAATTATTATCGATCACAAGAAATATGATTTAGCATTGGCACCTATATTAACAATGGACATAGATGTAAATAAATATTTATATCTTGTCATCTGAAATAAATGATTTTTGTTTTAATTTTGTATTTTTAGTATAATACTTGGTCTGAAATTATTCGTCTTGACTTAACCACATGGATGGTTTATAAAGGCTTTCATAAAAAAAAAACCCGCTTATTTTATAATTATTTTGCGGTCTATGATCGTGTTTTGTTTATTAGAGTCATTTAGAAATAAAGCTGATACAGATATAGACGACATTACTAACAGTATAAATACATGTTTTCGCAATCTTTGTGATAAAAAATAACACAAAAAACAAAATTGAATGTACCATAAACTTTGTCACATCTACAAATCTTATGTCACAATGCTCCTAATAATAATAAACTAGAGCTATACAAAGTACCGCCATATCCGATGTACAGTGCCCCTAATGACTTTATCCTTGGGGGCACGCGGTGGTTCTGTGAGTAATGAACTGGCCCACTAACCAGGAGATTCGGAGTTAGTGATTTTCCAGCGTGGTTTCCCTATGTCAGTGTTTAATGACGAAGGGTCTGACAAGGAACAACGTCTTATCGTTAGGATGGGACGAAAGGCCGAGGTCCCGTGTACACATTGGCGTGCACTTAAAAGAACCCTTGACATTTGGAATTTGAAACAAGAGTAATCCATAGGACCCCTGGCCAGGCAAGATTTCTCTCACAGCACACTGGATTGCGTATGCCCGTCTTCGTTAGTCTAGACGATGCAGAAAAATAGCCAAAGTAGAACGTGAAACACCATTTCATTTCACTTTAGCCTTGGCATTTCTGCGAATAAAATTGATTCTTTGTTGTTATTAGGCCGTAGTGTCGCTGTCCGGGCAAAATTCCCCCTCATAGCACACTGTATGACGTATAGTATGCCCGTCTTCATTAGCCGATTTCGGAGCAAAACAGTAGGACGTTAAACCCCATTTCATTTCATTTCTTTGGTGTTATGAAAACATTATACCAAGACAAGCTGCGACAAAACAGACATAAAAATTGTGTTGTGTCATACTGAACGAACCCGGATGTCCTCCATGTAGAACAGATTTGTCAAACTTGACTGCAATAAAAACTACATTCCGTTCCTGACAGTTAAAATTCCTGTCTATAATCTAATGTGAAAATAAAGGGTTATATTTCATGCTACTTAACTTCTGAAGAATTTCAACGCATGTTCGTTCACCAGGATGAACAAAATCAGTTATCGTTTTACTGGCTCTCACAAAAGCCCCAAAGTCATCTCATATCAGAACAATTTTGAGAAAACAATCACTTATCTACTTATCTTTTTAATTACATAAATGCACGTTTTTGTCCAGTAACATTCACTTGATTTGATAGTACTTTAATTATTTACTAGTTTAATTACCCGGGGGAAAAATATCACCATTTTCTAACAACAATAATAACGCAATAGTCATTAATTGTTTTTTTCATCATTACATACTACATCAAATGCAAAACAAATAGCCCCCTTCGATTCCTTATAAAAAAATGTTATTTTATAACATTTATATCTGGTAACTTTTATTGCAGTATATAATTATGTAAATCACGTTATCATTGAAATTTTATTGTAATTTTGTATGTGAATTCTGAAATGGTTTGTTATATTTTTTTTATACACAAATGACAGAACACGAAGGAGCGTTTACTTTAAACGATAAGAGGTGGGGATTTCCCCGAAGATGGCGTCTAGTCGAATTCTTACATCTAGGCAGGAAGTCTTGAGCTAAACTGACCTTAAACTTAGATCTTTGTATTCTACAGCAAAAATAGAAAAGTTTCATCAATAGTCAAAGGATTTATGTACGATATTGCAAAGAAGACCAAATCCGGCTCTGTATCAATGCCACAATTACAGGACGTTTGTAAGTTTATCCACTGCCTGAAATTGTTCAACTGATGTGGCTGCGAATTATTAAAATTTAAGAGATATCATAAGCCAAGCTCAAATGGTATCGAGTAGTTTACTGTTTTTCCTGATATCTTCTGTACAGAAAATCATTGTTTTCTTTTTGACTTGATTCAATAGAGACTTTTCTGTCATGGAATGTTGTTCATGTACAGCAGTATAATACACCATACTAGACCACCATGGGTCTGCATCTAAAAACAATAAGTTTGACCCATTAACTTGCCGACAAGTTTGTCCGTTCAGATCTAATTGGTCCTTCCTAAAAGAACTAAGATTTGATAGACAGGGCGAGGGGTTAATTTGAACATTAATGGTGGCAAACTGAGAAGGTGAAGATCCTCTAATTACCGTGTCACGTTTAACGTCCATTCAACACAAACCTCTCAGCCCAGCCCAGCCCAGCTTAGTAATCACAATAACAGTGGCGGATTTCCGAGTGGGACAGAAACATGGTACCATAAGTCAATCCTAATAAAAACATTTATCTTACATCATTTGTTCCCCGTCTTTTTTATTCTACACTAAGTGTTTTAAGTTAAATCTTTATAGATCAATTCACTGCTTTACTTTCAATGTTGAAAGCATTCCGTTACTCAAATAATAGTTTGCCCATTTTTGATACCTGATTTCATATTTCACTTACTGTACCCTGATGCTGAGATGGTGATTTTCTTTTAAATTGAAGCCTTTGAAAAAAATAGATCAATCCAGTAGCACAGTTAATGGGTTGTGTTGTTACATACATCTAGACTTAGTATGGTGCTAGACAAGATCCGATTTACATTCATATTACTAGCTGAGAAAACACAATAATCTACACCGTTTGATATAATGGATATGCGATGAATAATGGTCTGGACAACATAGTATCAATTGCATTTATGGTAACTGACTGCCTTGCTTTTTACATAGTTCGTTTTGCTAAACGTTGACTTTATCCAAACATTCACAAAATGCAATCTGCATACTTCCAACGCATGATCTTTGACTTCCGATGCATAATCTTTGACACTGTATATTATAGACAATAGCCGAGATGTTGTCCAGACCGATATTCATTGTGGGATAATTTGATGGAACTTTGGGGATTAGCAATATAAAAATCCCCAATACATTAGATCAACACAGAGATTAAATGACAAGAAGAACATCTAAATGTCTACGAACACATCAATCCGTAAATCGACGCTTGAAACTGGCTACATTGCAGTTTGTGTTGAATTTGAAGCGGGTGGTGCATGAAATTTATATTTTATAACAACCTTTTCAACTGATCTTCTAATTTTATAAATCTCTAACACCGTAATAACGCTACATATCTATATGAGGCAGATAACTGTAACAATCGTCCAAATCTGGATATGAGCACGAAACGTTGCATGGGTATCCATTTAGGATCATTTATTAAGAAAATCAGGTAGCCACTTGAATTTTCGGTTTTTCATTCACGTAATTTTAGCACCAGGCTGACTTAGAGGACTTTTATATGCCCACATTTTCATCTTATTATGTCGTCGCCGATATCCGACCGTTCGACGCCTGAACGTCTGTACGCACGGATGTCCGGTCACATATGTTTGTGCACAGGTCTGCACGTACGGATGTCCGTTCACATTTGTTTGTGCACAATTAAGACAATTTATATCCAGTTGTGATGAAACGTAGTCGATAAATATCTCGGATGGGTTTGATCTTGGTGCGCATCAGATCGCAACTTCTTAGGTTATGGTCCCTCACATTTACGCATAATCGTGAAATATGTACTTCGTCTGTGGAACCCCCCGGTCAGAATTTTTGTCCGATTTATATAAACTTTTTATATATACTATTCAAAAAAAGTAGGGGATATTTGATTTTTAAGTGTTATTAAAGTCACCTAATGAAACTGACGAAGAAACAAATGACAAAATGAAATGAAGTTCACATTCATCGATTTATTCCAAATGATCGTTAGACTAAGTAAGGCACAGACTGACCATTATAAGGGTAAAATGATACCCGGGGTCAAACAGCAAAGTTACCACAGCATCACAACCAAGTCAGTAACGGGTAAATCCTCCTCTGTTTGGCAAACAAGCATTGATCCGACGTGGCATACTCCTAATGAGACGTCTAAGGTCATTTTGGTCCAGATTGTCCCATTCCTGTTGCAACGCAGCAGCAAGTTCTTGGACATTGGCAGGACGTTGTTGACGTTGACGTAACCTCTGTCCAAGCATGTCCCAGACATGCTCGATGGGGGAGAGGTCGGGACTCAGTGCTGGCCAAGGTAATGTGGTGATGTTCTGTTGTTGGAGGTAACCTGTAACGATCCTGGCCCTGTGACATCTTGCGTTGTCATCCTGGAAGATGAAACGGCGGCCATGACGTCGTGCGAACGGCACAACATGGACTGCCAAGATGTTGTCCCGGTAGTACTGGCCTGTAACACGCCCTGCAACAACATGTAAAGCCGTTCTTCCAGCAACAGTGATGCCTCCCCACACCATAACAGAACCACCCCCAAATCGATCATGTCTGATGACGTTAACGTCTTGGAAGCGCTCGTTTCGACGACGCCACACCCTCCTACGTCTGTCCAAAAAATCAACAGTGAACATTGACTCATCTGAAAACATCACATTGCTCCAGCGTCAAAAATCCCAGTGTTGACGATCCCTACACCAACGACGTCTTGCCTGAATGTGATGATCTCTCAAACAAGGGATCACGCGAGGACGTCGGGCGCGAAGGTGACCCCTATGCAGTCGATTCCGAATCGTCTGGCCACTCACTCTCACACCAGTGTCTGTTTGAAGATGAGCGCTGATCTGATTTGCTGTGATGACACGATTTCTCAAGGCCAAGGTACGGATAAATCGATCCTGGGCTTGAGTTGTCGCCCTTGGTCGACCTGAGCGTGGTCTGTCCTGTACAGATTGTGTATCACGGTATCTGGACCATAGCCTGCTTATGACAGACTGAGAAACATTCATCGTCCGCGCCACAACCGCCTGTGTTGTGCCGATCTGTAGCATGCCAAGGGCACGTAACCTTTCATTTTGGGTAAGCCGACGCATATCAAAATTTGTTTTCTGGTCACTAAAACAATTAAACTGATGTTTCCACCCTGGAATTCAATGTCACAATGACTGTAACATTCAAAGTCAGAGTCGTGCAAATCTTGGGTTGGACCCCCATGATGATCCCAAGCATCACCTGCATTCCATGCGGTAGCTATTGGTGCGTTTGGGCGTCACATGTAACTGGAAATGTTTCTTCTGTTAGGTTCTATAGTGACCTTTTTCGTAGTCATTTGCATATTTTAGTATTATGCCCCCAAAATCAAATTTCCCCTACTTTTTTGGAATAGTATATGTTACGGATCAAACGCTCTTGGAGGAGTTCGATTTTGGTTCGTACTAGACCGCAGCTTCTTGGTTTTACGCAAAATATGAATTATGTACAAAGATTATAAACCCTCTAGAGCCCACAGTTTTTGTTCAGTGGGTTTAGACATTGGCGTGCTAACCTGGAGGTCGCACTGTATGACGTATGTCGGAGCAGAACAATCAAAAAAATAGGACAATGTGATGTGATTTTCTTGATATTATGCAGTTATCTTCCGCACTAATATAGTAGCTCAAATAAAGCATAAATCCAAAGTTATACATGTGTAAGTAAATTCATCTGTTTGTTGATATTTTTCAGCCTGTGTTTCATGTTGAGTATGTAGATAACCACAGTGAAGGTACCAATAAGGCAAAAAAGATATGTAATAGTCATGGTCGACCTCATCAATTTAACACTCTGATTAAAGATTGGGACTTGACGTCATGGAGAATGACATGTTGATAATAAATGGAATAAAGCACTAAAATGAATGTTTTGAAAACAACACAATTTTTATTATTATTTGTCTTCCATTTATAGAATGTTATCAGGAACTTTAAGGGACGTGGAATTAAAGCGAGAATTTCAAATTTTCTAAGAAAGTCAAAACATAATTATTTCTATGTCTTTTGCTCAATAGGTTTTCAAATCACTATTATACGATCACAGGCATTATTTCCCACCCTTAAAAATCTATGACACAGGAAATAACAACACAATAACCTCCCCTGTTTTGCTATTGACAACATGGGGCAGCCATTTTCCTACGTTGGAATTTGAAGTTAAAAATGATACTTTTGCCAATTTCTCAGCTGGCAATAGCGAATTATAGGATTAATAGGATTATTCTTTAACAAGGTAGGACTGTTTATGGATACCATCTATTTTAAGGCTTTATTTTAATACATTTTAAAAATATAATTTGAAAATTTGCAATTGCAACTTTAAGTGGTATGGGATCGGGATGTATTCGCACTTGGAACAAGCACGTAAACCATAATGTAAAGTTTGCATTCTGACCAGTGTCGCGAATTGAATGAATACCAGCAAAAAGCGACTTTAGCTTGATATTTTTATACGCCCACATTTTCATGTGGACGTATATTGTCGTCGCCCCTGTCCGTCCGTCCGTCCGTCCGTCCACAATTGTTTGTGAACAGTCTACAGGTCACATTTTTTATCCGATTTCAATGAAACTTGAAATATAGGTTTATCACCCTAAGATATCGGTTCCTGTCGATATTGGCATGAATCGGACCGTAACTTCATGGATTATGGCCCCTGATTGTACGAAAAATCTCGTTTTTAGCTTGTGAACACTGTAGAGTTCACAATTTTTATCCAATTTGGTTTACACTTGAAATGTATGCTTATAACCCAAAGATCTCGGTTCCTTTTGATATTCGCGCATATCGGAACGTAGGCTAACTTCCTGAATTATGGCCCCTGATTGTACGAAAAATCGCGTTTTTAACTTGTGGACCCTATAGAGGTCATAATTTTTATCCGATTTAAAAGAAACGTATTATTGTATCACCGTTACACCCTAAGGACTGCTGAGTTCGAATTTCGTGAAAATCTGCCCAAAACTGACAGACAAAATGGCCACCCCCCCCCCCCCCCCCGTTCTCAAATTGCGTAAAAATATGGTATATCAAGGTTGTGGACCCTATAGAGGTCACAATTTTTATCCGATTTTGTTGAAACTTGAAATGTAAGTTTATAACCCAAAGATCTTGGTTCCTGTCGATTTTTGCGCATATCGAATTGTAATTTCCTGAATTGTGACCCTTGATTGTAGGAAAAACCACTTTCGTTTTAGCTTGTTTTCTAACCATATCTCTAAAATGTGGGCGTATCCCGCCTGGCAGCCGCTGGTTTGCATGTAAAATTGTAGGTATAAAGATTTTAACGTTTTTTTTATTTAAATTTGGTGTCCCGCATTGGGGGTCTTGAGAGGATGAATCCTATCGATTTCGGTGTCCGGAAAAGCTTGTGAACACGATGAGTTTTCTTGAAGCATAAAGGATCCTTTTCAAATCTGGGTTTTCCTTTTGGATAGTTGCTGTCTACGGCTGTATTCATTTCGGGCCATATCTGCTTTGTATTGCTGTCTTTTTTATAGGATATTTGCCTTCTGTATAACCACAGTATTTGCTTTCTGTGTAACCACAGTACTTGTCTGTTTGACTTCTGTTTAACCACATTACTTGTTCTTTATCTTCTCTATACTATATGAAGATAACAGCTTGGGATTTTCTCATTTGTAATATACATGTAGGTTGCGGTGACATTAAAGTGTATTTTCTTTGAAGGGGGATCACGTGGCTAAGTGGGTAAGACGCTAGCTCGCTAGCCTGGAGGTCGGGTGTTCGATCCGTGCATTGGCCGAGAAAGTTCATCCAGATTTTCCGGCTGACAAGGAAAGCTGTCTAGTCGTTCGGATGGGACGAAAAACCGAGGTCCCGTGTACACATTGGCGTGCACGTAAAAGATCCCTTGGCAGTTGGAATTCGATATAAGAGTAGGCCGTAGTGCCGCTGTCCGGGCAAAATTTCCCTCATAGCACACTGTATGGCGTATGCCCGTCTTCATTAGCTCAGGTTAGGAGCGGAACAGTAGGACGTTAAACCCCATTTCATTTCATTTTCTTTGATTGATGTTGTAATCAAAAATTTATTAGCAAACTTATTAAGTTGCAATTACTGTTCAATGAAACCCGTTTCGTATTGTTTTGTATGCATTAAATTTTGATTTATTAGTCTATAACACGACAGTGGGGTGTGGACGGAATATTTTTAAAATAAACTTCGTTCTCTTTGATATACATGTATTAGCCAAGGAAATGGTCTATTTAGTCGAGACTATGCTACTTTTATCAAAATTTTGTTCAGAATTAAGTAATTTGACTGGGGTGAGAAGTGGTATCCAAGTTTCAGGACGTCCAAGCATATTACACAAATATCTGTTTTTCTTGTAGTAGGTCAATAGTTTACGATGTCTAAATAGTATAAGAATTCCTTTAAGAGTAAATAAGTTTAAATTGGAATAAAATACAGCGGAGGACGCATAACTACACATTTTGAAGCTCGGTGTACTCTTTCTGGAACACTTGATACTCATCCAATCTAATAAATAGTTTGAGGTTGCTCCATGTGGCGGTTAGCAGATTTTAAAATACAGATGTGACGTCACCCTTTGATGTTGGCGTACCATTATTTCAAATAATCGTACGGGCAACTTGCCAATCGTACCTAGTCAAATATTAGACTCGAGTGACGTATTTCACTTTAAACACACGTGCGGGGTGTCTGTATTTTAAGATGTTTAATGGTCTCGAGCTGAGACATTGCGTAATATATTGTAAAAACACTCGGACCTGACGGTCCTCTTGTTGTTACAATATATTACTTAATGTCTCGCTCTCTACCATTAAACAATACCTAATGTTGTTGTATATTCTTGTTGAAGATTTATATGCTTTGTATAAACCCTGATGCCATAAGGACATGCTTGTTTTGTTTAGTGGTTAACCCAGAGTTGCGTGATCTGAGCATAATATAATTATATCGTAAAGCATGTCCCGACCACATTTTAGATACTTTCCCACAAATGAATTTATCGGGTGGTTATTTCAAACAAAAGTATGGCAAGTTTGGTATATATGGAAAGTGGAGACACCCAATCTTTCTAGAAAAATACTGAATTCCCTGAAAAACACCCATGGAACATGCAGTCTGACAATTAAGGGTTGTCTGCTCAAGTGACGTCAAATTTTGCACGCGAAGGTTTTCTGATCTCTTAGCGTTAGGGAGCGCTTCGCGTATATGTTGATAAACATGATGGTGAGCGGACTAGGAAAAAGTGAGAGATTTAAAAACGTTCATCAATTTCTGAGATAAAAACCACAAAAAGAAATAAGACGTGGGCAGTGGATAATCCCAGAAATTAAATAGGCTTCGATATTTATCATAAATGAATATAGGCCGCATTCCATGGGCACAAATTGTCGTTGCAAAAATATTTTCGTTCCTACAAATCCGGTCTAGAAGAAATTTTGTCAGTGTATAGTTCATATAGAGATATTCGTTTGTTGTAATGTTCCCCCAAAAATTCCATAGTTCTTCGGTGATATTCTTCGTTGAAATCCGGACTATTTATTGATAGTAAAATTCATAGTGCGCGAGGTCACTGGACATAATTCAGCGTTGTTCGCCGCGTCACGTGATCGTTTTTTCCACAATCGACCAATCACGTTATTGTCTACATTCGCGTGTGTTGTTGGTAAACACAAAATGGCGTGCTTCACGAGGAACACATTGCAGTTATACATGTAGAAGCTACACTAAATGGCGACAAAGGCTCAATTAACTTGTATTGTTCACTTAGACAGTGTTAATAAGGTAAGTGCAGAACCCTTTACAAACACAAGGTGAGATAAATGTCGTGAGGTAGCTATAGACTGGTTTCAATTGGATGGAAATGACCAATCCATTGCAGCATTTTTCGATACAAATGGATATTTTATTACGAAGGATATTATATTGAAGATACAGTCGGCAGTGGTTTTAGATTTCATCCAACGTTTTATAGATGTTTTAAGAACAAAACAGTTAAATGATGCGAGAAAGAAAGAGAGTGACTCAGTGATAAGGCAGCGTCTACATTCAGTCCAACCGAAACTAAACTGTCACGACATACATACAGACTATTAGTATTAGTATTACTGTGATGTGGTCATAATATATTTTACCAAACATTATTTAACAACTTACTATTAGTATATTAATCATTCGACAAAAATAGCAATTCACTCATAACATAATTTAGTCCAGTGCGAAATAAAAACAGCATTTTTATTATTTTATTTAAAGCACCAATAACACTTTTGCTGTTTTGATAAGTCCAGTGAAACAAATACCGGTAGCCTTATTCTAACTACTAAATGCGTTAGTGTCTTACTCTTAGTGTAAATCCTCCATTAAATTGTATTTTATTGTCCCCCGCCTTTCGAAGAAAGCAGGGGACTATTAAAATGGGTTCGTCCGTCTGTCTGTCTGTCCGTCACACTTTTTGGGACACAATAACTCTCTTCCTAATTGAGCTAGAATGTTCAAACTTGGTGTATGTGTTTATTAGGTCAATGCCTTGATGGAGTTCGAAGATGAGCATTTTCCGCTTAGGGTAAGCAGAGATAAGCAATTTGTTACTCCCTAGTTATTTCCTTTTTTTTGTCCCCCGCCTTTCGAAGAAAGCAAGGGACTCTTAAAATGGGCTCATTCATCTGTCCGTCCGTCTGTCTGTCCGTCACACTTTTTGGCACACAATAACGCGCCTTCTAATTGAGCTAGAATGTTCAAACTTGGTGTAAATGTTTATTAGGTCAATGCCTTGATGGAGTTCAAAGATGAGCATTTTTCTTCTTAGGGTAAGCAGAGATAAGCAATTTGATTGGTTGATGCTTTTAGACACGATAACTTTAGTTCTAATT